CCTCTGCCCCCGGGCCCTCTGCCCCCGGGCCCTCTGCCCCCGGGCCCTCTGCCCCCGGGCCCTCTGCCCCCGGGCCCTCTGCCCCCGGGCCCTCTGCCCCGTCTGCTGCCCCGCGTAGGAATCCTGCCGCCCATCGCCCTGGCTCCTTACCGCAGGTATGCGACTCGAGCCCTAGCTCCCGAAACAATGCCACCAAAACCCGTTTTAAAATGCTTGAGCTGCCAACTGCACTGAATAAAGACATTTCGAAACTTTTAACTGTAAGATTAAGTAACCGGAGGGGAGAGCATTCCTCCCAGTTACTGTCCGAGGGCAGAGCTCTGCAGCCCCATGCCTGAAGGGCAGCAGTGGTCCCTTAGCCTCGTAAGGGCGGCCAGCGAACAAACAAGGGTCCAGAGCACACTGGGACTTCTAACCTAGACCTCGTGGAAAAAAAAGCAGATCAGTTGCCTGAAAAAAAGGGGGGTGGGGCTAGGAGTGAGAAGTCGGCTTTCTCAGCATAGCACTTGCAGTAATTAAGTGGGACAGTGGGCACATCAACTGCCTTTCTAAGGTTCATTTTCCTCGTCTCTAAGAAAAGACTTTGACGATTTCTTGGACCTCTAAACTCTGAATCTGTAATACTAAGATTTTTTTCAGCCTAACTTGTCTGTAACCAGGAGGTTAAAATTGTCTAGAGTCATTCATCATAGACTACTAGTCAGCTCCTCTCTACTCACCATAAAAGGCACCCCCTCTCTGCTGGAAGGAAGAAAACTCCTAGTCGTGGCTTGTCCACCAGGAGCCAGTTACTGTGCTAGGTGCCTTTAGATGTATGATAGCATTTGAGTCTCAGAACAATCCTTCCAAGTATGTATTGGATCTCATTGCTATACCTGCAGACACCAAGGTTCTGCGTAAAGAGGCATACTGGTATACTGGAAACTGACAAGGCTGGGAAAAGGCACACAAACCCCTTAATATACCAGCAATTCCACTAACAACTCATCTGTAAAATGGGGATGATCAAAATATATATGCCTTGCAAAGCTCTGTGTGTCGAGCACCTAGGAAATGTTATGGCATATAATAGGTGCTCAACAAATGGAAGCTGTTAATGTTATTGTCAAGTTCACAAAACAATTATAGGGCTCAACAGGAAAAGTAACCCCAGTCTTACTCCCTTACACTGAGCTGCCTCTCAGCTTTGTCAAGACATAGCTATTGCTCAGTAGTTTGAATGTGTCTAGATTCTAATCCATGTATAATAGCATGTTTTCCTTTATTTTTATTTTAACCCTCAAAAAGAGAAGAGCAAACCCTGAAAGTCTGGAGCACTTGCAGCTAGACCATCTGCTCTCAAGTAGAACATAAACAATGTCACAGAAAATCAACATCAGCCAAGGCCATTGTAACCATGATGAAACAACAAAAACAAGACCACTCGTACTCCTGTTTGAACACAGAAAAAACATGAACATGTCCAAAACACAAAAATGACAAAATGGCCCTTTTCCTGCCTAATATAAGTGTCACTTCTTTATCTAGCAACTTTAACCTTACCCCCTTCTTCTTGTATTCTAAATAAGAATTAAGATGCTCTGTCATAGAACAACTTGGGGCAGCTGGCTGGCTCAGTCAGAAAAGCATGCAACTCTTGATCTCAGAGTTGTGAGTTTGAGCCCCACATGGAATGGAGAGACTACTAAAAAAATTTTTTTTAATTAAAAAAAAAAAAAAGAATTCTCACCACTTCCTTCCAGCATCCAACCCAGAGTAATGCTCTGCTTCCTTGAACCTTCCCCAAACCATGGAACACAAGCCCATTTCTAACACTCTCTGACACACCTCAGAGTCCTGCATGGTGAGTGTTCTTCCTTGTTTCAATAAATTAATAAATCCAAATTTATCCAACCACAGGTGTGTTCCTGTGATCTTCAGCTAGAGAGCACTGACATCCATGCAAAGACAGTAAATGGAATTCTGCTTTTAGGGGCAGACACAACTCTAAGCCAGATTCTAAGCCACTTATATACACCCACATGCAACACAAATTTATTAAAACAAACAAAAACTGTGAGATCCTAACTTAGTTAAAACACAAGAATCAGGGAAGCCTCCAACAGCTGACATTTCAGCAATGTATCTGACAAAAACTTCTCAAGGACTTTTTCTAAAATTGACATGTTTCTAATACTAATCTGGAATTAATCTCTACAGTTTGAAAGTATGTTAAACTTTCAGGATTCAGAAGGATAGTAGGGATAGAAGGAAAAAAAATGAGTTTCATTTAACTTTTTCTTTTAAATGTTTATTTATTGAGAGAAATAGAGAAGGAGTAGGGGGAGGCGCAAAGAGAGAGGGAAAGAGAGAGAATCCCAAGCAGGCTCTGAGCTGTCAAAGCAGAGGCCAACTAGGGACTCCATCTCACTAACCATGAGATCATGCCCTGAGCTGAAATCCAGAGTCAGATGCTTAACCAATTTCCAGATGCCTCTTATTTTATTTTATTTTATTTTAATTTTATTTTATTTTATTTCATTTTATTTTATTATTATATTTTTTGGAGATGGGGAGAGATAGAGCATATGAGTGAGGGAAAGCAGAGGGAGAGAGAGAATCCCAAGCAGTCCGCACACTCAGCATGAAGCCCGTCAAAGAGCTCGATCCCACGACCTGGAATCATGACCTGAGCTGAAATCAAGAGTGAGATGTTCAACCAACTGAGCCACCCAGGCACCCCAATTTTTTAAGTAAGCTCTATGCCTATGCCCAACATGGTCCTTGAACTGACGACCCTAAGATGAAGAGTTGCATGCTTTACAGACTGAGCCAGCTAGGCACCACACAAAATAAGTTTAATGGGGGAAAATGTTGCCAAGTTTCACTTTGTGAATATCATTTTTAAACTTACTGCCTTCTGAAACTTTTGAAGTATCCCTAGGCAAGGCTTCTCCAAGAAAGATCTGTAGACCACTATTATGACACTGGAATCTCCCAGGAGTTTTTCCTAAAGCAAATTCTAGGCTTTACCACAGCCCTACTGAATCAGAATCTCTAGGATCATGGAATCCATATTTATTTTTAAGTTTATTTATTTATTTTGTGAGACTGAGAGAGAGGAGGGAGAAAGAGAATCCCAAGCAGGCTCCTGCTCAGTGCAGAGCCCAGCATGGGGCGTGATCTCACAACCATGAAATCACAACCTGAGCTGAAATCAAGAGTCAGCCACTTAACTGACTGAGCCAACCACACACCCTTGGAACTTACGATGTTTATGCAACCTAAATGTAAAGAATCATCAACCTAGGGGCAGAGAAAGCTATGCATGTCACCCTGAAGCTTCAGCCCAAATTGGCTCTTACATGAATAAAGTTATTTCAAGAATTGTATTTTTTTAATCCATGCAAATTTTGTCATTCTTTTTTTTTAATATAAACTTTAAATTGCCAGATAAATTACTTGTCTTCCCATCCCCACTCCTTCTTCAATTAAAAGTAAAGCTCTAGGGGCGCCTGGGTGGCACAGTCGGTTAAGCGGCCGACTTCAGCCAGGTCACGATCTCGCGGTCCGGGAGTTCGAGCCCCGCGTCGGGCTCTGGGCTGATGGCTCAGAGCCTGGAGCCTGTTTCCGATTCTGTGTCTCCCTCTCTCTCTGCCCCTCCCCCGTTCATGCTCTGTCTCTCTCTGTCCCAAAAATAAATTAAAAAAAAAAAAAAAAAGTAAAGCTCTAGGACTATGTCATATTTATTCTTGAAGCCTCAAGAACCTACAATGCCTGGGACATAAAAGTAATCCAATTGTTAACCTTCAAAGGGCATGGACCATTTGTGTTTGGTTGTTCACATGCCTAAGGTTTAGTGGCATCATTGGTACATGGTAAACCGTGTATATTTGTTAAATGAATAATTGTATATTATTGGCGGGGCTATTTTTTTTATAATGCCCATGGTTTTATCCAGTCCAATTCCATTTGACTGTAGTCTCTATCCTATGATTTCTAAGAGCATTCACAGATTCCTAAGAGCATTCACTTGGAATATATGGATTGTAGCCAGATTTTCTAAATCAAAACAGGAAAGATATAGAAGCAAGGAGGACCAGACAAGAGTAGGAATGGCAGAATCGAAATCTTTCAGAACTGAAGGGACACTTATAGAACATCTAATTTCTATTTCATGGTGAAATAAAAGAAATAAGAAGTATATTCAGTCTTTTATAGAAGATAAATTTATTCCATTTAAATAACAGTTCTTTATTCTGATACTAGGTCTTTACTACCAACTTGGATTTGTAAAAATGTCTCTTTGATGAAGACTGCAGTGGTAGAAAGAAAAAATTTAACAGCCTCACTTGGCAAGACTAAAAGCAAACCATTCTATCTTGCCCCTCACCCCTCCTTTTTCTTTAATCTATTGGTCCACAAAATCCCAAAGTTAGAGAATCATTGGTAGAATAAATCTATAATACTAGCTAATACTAAGTGCTTCCTATGAGTTAAGTTCTTTACATTATTCAAGATTTCAGAAAAAAAAAAAAAAAAACCCTGTTAGATATTTCCAAAAAGATGTATGTGTGAACTATCAATTTCTTTTACAGATAAAGAAACTAAGGCACAGAGAAAATAGTTTATGTGCTAGAGGATGATTTAAAATCCAGGCAATAGGGGCACCTGGGTGGCTCAGTCAGACTCTTGACTGAGTGTCAGACTCTTGACTTCTGCTCAGGTCATGATCTCAGGATCGTGGGATCAAGCCCCATGTCAGGCTTCACCCTCAGCATGGAGCCTGCTTCGGATTTTCTCTCTCTCTCTCTCTCTCTCTCTCTCTCTCTCTCTCTCTCTCCCTCTGCCCCTTTCCCTTGCTCATGCTCTCTAAAGTAAAAAATAAATGAGTATTCTCCTTCTCCTTCTCCTTCTCCTTCTGCCCTTCCCCTGCCTACAGACCACACACATACTGTTCCCACTATCTTG